ACGCGAGGTCGCAGTTTAAATGAAATTGTGATCACCTGCATTTTAAGTTGATTTAAAGCGTTTTGTAATATCTTTAACTGATGGAGTCGGTCATTTAATATACTATAATGAATAATAGTACACAAGAGTGTGGCGTCAGGCTCGGTATGATGTATAGTGAGTTCAACACACCAGTGGTTGCCAAATGCTATGGCACTGCATTTGAAGCGCGTTGGCATACGCAGAGGAACACGTTCGAGATTACCATGCACGTGCGAGTCAATACAAGTGTTTGGGTGAAAAGAAGGGGAGGGGGCTCTGGCGCCGTTAAGTTGCTTCAGACGAGAATTACGTATTATTTACGAATATTGGAGAAATTTATATCAACCTACCCCTGGTCGGTTTCGTGGTTTATTGGCACCGGAAATATGGCTTCTCCTTTTCTGGTACTTCATGGGAACATCATTATCCTGGTGCATATTTCCGAATTCGGAAACCTGAAGTCTCGGCAAGACAAGCCGAGTTGCAGAGTCAGTCATGTTTGCACGGTGTCTACTCGTAGATGTGGTACATGGAAACCGGCACTGACTACACGGGCGCCACCACTGTTCGTTATCGGCCGACTATCTACATAGTACTATATCGCACTTGACAAGATGAGATGTTGTCAAGAGAGCGTTCCGGTGTTCTGGAACGCAACTCCCTGACGTCTGCATATCTTCACGTTCTTGCTCGCGACAGACACGACGCCTTGTATGTACCGTGACGTCACAGAACATGGACGCTAACTGGTACCGAGCTGAAAGACAGCGTCGTTTGGCGGTGGTTGGCAATATACTACAGTGTTCTAGCAACAACGTTGGGCGAAAATATGATGACAGAATTAATTCGACATTTTTTAAACAAGAAACAATAATTCTGTTGATGTTAACATCACACTTACATCAGTTAATTCATCAAATCAATACGATAACTGGGAAGGATGGGCACGCGTAATGATGAGATATATGCCGTGTGGCCCTTTGTTGGTATTGGCTGAATTTCTGCATGCCTACGCATTCAACTGCCACCGTAACTGTATATAGTTATCTTTACCAATTTCAAGTACGTGTTGTTGATGCTATCTATGCGAGTGATTTATTATAAATCAACTTTCGATCAGTGTCACCCGCGAACGCCGTAAATTTTAGATTTGGCTTTCAAATTTGTCCCGAATTTCTGAATTCCCGAACAATTGCATTTTTCCGACAATGAATTCGGCCTACACTGGCACGTCAATACATTGGAATTTCTTAATGTGCGCGTCATACGACGCATGTGGATTCGAAATACACGTATGATTACGACTACGTCACGGTCATCGTAGTACTACACATTTCATGGCAACACTTCACATTGACCCTGACATTTGTCAGATTAAGGTGAAAATGATTCATACTGAGATTTTGAACTAAGCAATGTAAATAAGGTGTACCGCCCTGATCTACCAATGATAGTCACAGGAATATAGTACACATATATTATTCCATTGCAGTCAATCGATGCATGTGCCCGTGGACCCAGTATGAATGTGTTCACGCGACGAGACAGCACATATGACATGTAAACGCTGAGAAATAAATTCTCTACACACAAATTCTGAAATATTTCCCCCCGTTTATTGTGGTTAATGAATGCAAATGAACTGCCAAAACATAAACGAAATTTGGCTAGTTTTAGACGTTTTTTTGTGTCTACTCCTACCCGGTTGATAAAACCGGAGGGCGCTGTAGGAATTATGTGATCACGTGTTAGTTTCAAATACAATCGTATTTCATTTTTTATAGTTTATTATGATTGATTTTTGTCCATTACCCAAAACCCTCCCTTTCAAACATATATATATATATATTTTCTTCTTTTAATTGTTCATTTGTTATTGTAATGGGGCAAAAGCACCAACTTTGGCGAGTTATAGTACTCAACATGCCGACCATTTTCACATAACAGTGACCTTTGGTGTCGAATGTTGCTGTCTAGTGATTTTAGCTCATTAATAAAAACACTTTATAGAAATGTTGTGATTTCTGAGTGATTTATTTCATATGCTAATCAACTAATTTGCTTCTTTATATCTGACGGTAAATTGTCATTTAGTGCAAAAACAAGTTGGCCAAATCCTCAGTGGCATTTCCTTTTTCTTGAAACATGTATGTTTTTTTTATGTTTGTATTCATATTGACAAAATTTGAGATATATGCGATATTAGTTGATGACTGAGTAATATAAGGTTATTATGAAGATACCTCAAAGTATGCACGAAGACAGTACAGCGGCAGTATCGACCGACACGCAGCGGAGGTCGATGCGACATCGTACTGTCTGAGTGCATACTTTGAGGTATCTTCGTAATAACCTTATTATTATACATCTTTTCCTACCAAGGATACATCATGGGAATGCCGAAATCCAAAAAGTTTAGAACAGAATCAGCGAACTTCTTTGTATGGAGTCCGGTCAAATCCTGGTGGCAGCCATGTTTGTTTTTATTATTATAGGACGCTTACGCGCGTAATTATTCCATATTTGGAATTCGCATTTCCTAATATGGTAGTATGAAAATACCCCGTAAAATACCGCAAAATTACGGCACGCTGTAACTTATGGCGTTACGGTGACAGATGTATAATAATAATATGTACGTTGTAGGTTATAAATAGTGTGCATTGATTAAGTGTATGGATTGTATTCTATGTACGTACCAATATAAAACCAATCTGTAATACGTTGTCAGGTCTCAATACGTTTACCACTGATTTCGTAGCTATACTGATTTCGCCAATTTCCGGAAAGGCGGGTGACTCGATGCACAGCCACATGTTAGTGTAATATACGTTGTCGAACTAAATGTAGTATGTTTAAGTACATAAAGAATTCGTTTCGAATTGTTTTTGCCCGTCTGGTACATTTATTTAGCCAGCTGTAGCTGTATTGCTTCAGAATGCGTTGCTGTATACATTGAGTCAATATATGCTATTCCGTTTTTTTTTTCAGTGTTGTTAATGAATTTTATTGTATTCGAGTGTATATATATTTGTTATAAGTTCTGACCATCTGTTCATGGAAGTTATGTTCATTTATGTAAAACAAATATGCATTTATGCGTTGAGACAACATATGCTATTCGATTTTATAAAATCTATAATATCTTTGTATTACATATACGTGCATGTGTTTTGTTCATTAACTACGTTGATCACAACCGACGTTGTGTTGTGTTGTGTTGACTGTTTTAAGGTAGAAGCCTACTCATAAATAAAAAAAATAACAGAATTTATTTTGCAATAAATTGTACGCCAAGGCAATATAAGGATATTGACCTAAAAAGTTGGGGGGTCACCAGCCTTTTTTTCGAGAAATTGATGGTTGTATTTTAGTGGAAAGTCGCCATTTTAACACTATTATAACACTTTTACCAAACGCTCCTATGGCAGAGATATTATGCAATATCTCAGAATCTAGCCTGATGACATAGGCTGAAAAAATCATATATTGTTAATGATGGAGTACTTTTTGTTGTTATTTATTATTTAAAAAGTCTGGGTTTTAAACATTGTGTTCTATGGAATTGTTCTAAAAATATCAATTTCAAGAATTATTAGGACACGTTTCTCAAAAAGCATAACTGTAACACACATAATAATGCTATTTCATTGTACCGTAAGACATTAGCTTCATGATTGTACATAATAAACGAATGAACATTGTCATGCGTTTAATGATCAATTTTGTCAAAAATTATGACTAGGCTTCTACCTTAAATTTCACTTACTAGTAGTGTAGCTTCCATATATTCCTATAGGCCAGCTACCTCATTTAGAAACCGTGAAAATAAATCAGAAATGAATGACACAGCAATGTTTGATGCCTGCATGATCTGATTATACACGTATATGTATCTACAATGAGAATACTATTATTCGGTTTGTCGGTAGAGGGCGTTATCCCTAAAACAACTCCAGGTATCAGTACAGATCAATACTTGAACTGGAAATCGTAATAAAACAATTAATAAATAGAGCAAGTAGTAGCTTACAAAGTGGGATTTTTTTTCCAGTTATGTCATATTACCATTATATCCCCATGCTGCTTTATAATGCATTTATTATGCCACATCTCAATTATTGTAAAAGAATTTGTAGAAAATGATACTTATTATCTAACATTACTGTTTCAGAAATAGTACGCCTAATAACATTCTACTCATTCCATGCTCACAGAGCTCCTCTTTTTAAACAATTGTATATAAAGGTACATGTACAAAAAATGTACTTGTTTTTAAGCGGGGGAGTCGTCACCTGTGCATGCGTCAGATGGCCCATGGATCTACCGTGTTAGTAGGTCCATGTTATAAACAGGCGTCTACCCATGAATCTTTCCGTTTTTAGCGTTAAACAAGTTTTGTACTCAGGCTTTTTGTTTCTGACATAAAAATTATGCGCGATGTCCACAATAACGACAGATGTTTTGATGAACTACGCCATAGATATCCCGCACATTTTTTTTTTTTTTAGCAAATAGCATTATCGAGAGTTTTGCTGTATCCGGTGTGTCTACTTTGTGCGTAAACTTGAGAAAGTAACATGCGATCCTGACTAGGTAGTTCAATGCATAAATTATGAAGAAAAAAAGTTCAGAATATAAATAAATATAAATAAAATCCTGAAAACAGTCATATAATGGTCGAAAAATGTTCAACAAATGTAAATCCCCCAAATGTAAGAAAAGTAGCAAAAGCCAAATAAATGATCATCTAATTCTCATACATAATAATGCTAAAAAAAATCATAATTTTGACATTGATCTTACCCACAGTCATTTAGAGATTGTGCTTAACCCCACAAAATAAATACATGTAGCGATTTTCTGTAGTCACAAGTATTTTTAGTACGCCACCAATAGTGGAAAATAAATTACTTTGTTTTCAATTTTCGTGCACATGCGTAGTTATCACTATGCGCCATTTTGAATGTTTTTGTTGACAAGAATCGCGAAGACAACCGTGTGCTTACGAAAGACTTACAACTCGAGAATCGGTTAAGCGGGTATGTACTATTTCGTGTTGTTGATTAAACAACATTTTGGAATCTGTGCCATTATTTATGGGGAAAGTGTAGGAAGAATAAAAATAAGAACGCCGATCTTTCATAGACGTTCAGCTTCACGATTCATGAATCCCCAGCCTGACTCTTGGCAACTTCCACGACCTATTTGGAACCAAAAAGACGCGAAATCACGGTTAGAAACAAATAGGTCACTGTGTGTCCTCTGAAACATGAACTTGGCATTGTTCTATTTGGTTTATATTTCTATACCAGTGTCTATTCCATTTCATTTGTCGAAATCAGGAGTACTCATAACATCGCCCTCATACACCTGTTTTGTTAAAAAAAATATCTGGTTCTATTGTGAATTTTCGAAGCTTTGTATCTCACTACATGAAAGCACATCAGAAGCGCATTGCTAATAGCAGTGAACATAAACAAAGAATTACTTATATTGTATACTGAATCATTAAAATAAAACTTATTGTGACTATAGACACATTTTTGTAAGTGCATATGCTAGTAATAGAGTGAAAATATTGTATATGTTATTGCCAATACTTGAATATAACTGTAGCAACTCTTATTATATTTAGATATCATGTGGTAGTGTCTGGCAGCCTGTCAATACCCTGATATGGAACAGTATACTATACTTGGACGAATAGGAGAGGGAGCACATGGTATTGTGTTCAAAGCCAAGCATATAGAGGTAAGACTCTACATCTGTGCAGTAGATTACCCAAATCTGTTCATACTGACCCATGGTGATAATTATTTTTATGCAGAGTATGGTATGTTAGCAATCAGAATATATCTATCACCATGAATATACATGTAGCTTCTGTGTAATTTCTGATTTATTCACCGAAAGTCTGTCAAGTGATAAATGGAAACATCAATTGTAATCACCCATACTGTGGACTGGATTAAATATTTGGTTGGAAAAAAATTTAACAAGTGTTGCAACAGCAAAATAATTTGTAATGGCAAACTTTTATTGCATATACAATATATATAAAACATGTTGAAATAGATACATGCCATTTTAGCGATTTTGACACAATGCATCATGAATTAATAGAATTTTAATTTGGCTAAAGTATCAACAATATTTTTGTGAGAATATAATTTCTTGTAAATTTATGTCATTTTGAATTAGCGAAATTACGAATTAGCTAAATCAGCTAAAATAACATACTAGCTAAAGTAACATGTTTTACAGTGGATTGAGAAATACAACTGTAAATATTTGTTTATTTTTTTTTTAGACTGGAGAAGTTGTTGCTATGAAGAAAGTGCCTCTGAGAAGGCTAGAAGATGGTATACCTAACACAGCACTTAGGTACTTTCAATGTTCACATAATTTTAATTAAAATGTATTCAGATTTAACTCATTGATATATAAAACACTAACCATCATAAACTGAATATTGATCACATTTATAGGGAAATTAAAGCACTACAAGAAATAGATGAAAGCCAACATGTAAGTGATGACAGTTTTCTATATGTTTGTTTATAAAGTATGTGCATGGGGGTCTCAGTGCTCTTTCCAGAGCATCATGGCAACAATGCTTGGACTATCTGGAAACGAACAAATAATTTAACAAGGAAAAGGAATCAACTGTAGCTGCAAATTTGTTTTGTACACCTACATGTACCAACATTACTTACTTACTTAGAACTCTTAGCGGCCCTGGATGGCACATGGGGCTGTCGCTAGGGTCCTCCAGGAGTTCCAGTCTGCTGCCTTCTGTCTTGCAGTCGCCCAAGTGAGGCCTAGGCCTCAAAGCTTCTAAGCCAACTTTATCATCTGCTAATTGCCTGACAACACAATAATGTTCCAAGCAATGTTGCTTTTAAGAAGCCAGTAGATTGTTATCAGATCTAAAGGCAACATTGTTTGCAACACACATTTACTTTACTGCTACAACTAATTTTTTTTTCAGGTTGTCAAATTGCGAGATGTTTTTCCACATGGTACAGGTTTTGTATTGGTATTTGAATTTATGCTGTCTGACTTGTCAGAAGTCATAAGGAATTCCGCTAAACCACTGACAGAAGCGCAGGTGAAAAGTTACATGCAGATGTTGTTGAAAGGTGTGACATACTGTCATAAGAACTCTATTATGCATAGGGTAGGTATACATGTCATGAGTCAATGTTGCAGCATTTTCCTTAACATATTCACATGGTTGTAAGATCACAAATTAACCATTCTATTGTGACTAGTGCGACACTTGCTTTGTAGCTCTCCATATACTCTAAGATTTGCTTGAATCGTTTCTGAAAGAAGCACAAACCGAAAAATCCTTTTCAGAGCCTCGACATATTTCAAAAAGAGAACTACCATTTCTGCTTCAATATACATTTTTGTAGTCTTGGTGACGGTTATGATTTTGATAAAAATTCTCGAAAAATAAATGTAAATTACGTAAACAGCGGTGAACGTGCTGCCCTGAATGCAGAAAACTAAATTACCTATTTTGCTGTCACAGCTATTTCGCGTTCACCCCTTGTTTTACGCAATTGACATTTATTTTTCAAGAATTTTCATCAGAATCACAACAGACTGCAAGGAAGTCAACTGTTAATCAATGAACAAAAAACAGGTTTTTGTTATTTTTTATATTTCAAGAAAAGAAAATGACACCCCCCCGGCATATGCCTGGACATGACCTCAATTTCTTTACTGTATTGAAATTGGAGGGTGGGCGTATTCCCCGGCATGGGCACTTACCTGGACGACTACGGTAGAAATGATATTTTGTTCCAGCATACTAGTATGTCATTGCATTTGATAACATTACATATTTTCTTAATATTAATTTTAATTTAAAGGATTTGAAGCCAGCCAATTTACTAATCAGTGAAACTGGACATTTAAAAATTGCTGATTTTGGTTTAGCCAGGGTGTTTAATAACAATGAAGGACGTCAATACAGTCATCAAGTAGCAACAAGGTGAGTGGATTGATCTGTTAAAATTAATTACCGGTATACTTCCCTGGTCAAAAGCCCAAGGGCCTCAACATGTAAAATTGGGGAAAGTAAATACAATTGGCTTATGTGTATAGACTTTAAATATTTAAATTCATGTCATATGAATATTGGATAGTGTTTCATTACATGATTGAGCATATGCCAAACTAGCAATGCATGGAATATCAGTCATGGAATATCAGTCTTTTCACCACCAGTTCCCTCTTTTCCTCACAAATTATAGTCTGCTCTTTCCTTCAGAAGATTGGAACAAAAATCGCCAAATTTTTTGAATAAAAATTGAAAATTGACTCAAATTTTGTCTGTTGGCTCAAAAATTGGGGTTCATTTCCTGAAATATTGAAGAATATAAGAAAAAAAAAGTTCAGAAAAATTTTGGGCAAGAAAGTCTGGTGGTGAAAAGGTTGAACATCCCTGTGTCTAGTATCTCTGATTCTGAGATACAGCTTGACCTGTGGAGTGCCTATGGTTAACAGATTATTTGTAATAATTATTTATGTAGTATTAGACTTCATACTATGTTTTGATTATTTCTGTTCATAGATGGTATCGAGCACCAGAATTATTATACGGAGCAAGAAAATATGATGAAGGTGTTGATCTTTGGTAAATACTTATTTCATTGATCAGTGTATACACTGTATGATAGAATCATAAATAGTTCTATGAGTGTCTCCTTTGGATTCTGCAAACACAGCTTCTTCATTATTTTACTTTACATACTTTATTTTAGCTGGAATTAATTTTTGCTGAAAAGACTTTTTTATTTTCATTGATTTTTGACGAGTTGAATGTAAAATATAGAAAGAAAAGGTATAATCTCCGGCTTTTATTTTCACTGAATCATTCCTTCAGCGAAAATTAATTCCAAGCAAAAATAAAGTACAGTAGTTCAATTCCAATTTTGATGTCTTTTTTGCAGGGCTGTGGGCTGTATATTTGGTGATTTGTTAAACAACTCCCCTTTATTTCCTGGTGAGAGTGATATAGAACAGCTTTGTTGTGTTTTAAGAGTTTTAGGAACTCCCACAGAAAAAACCTGGCCAGTAAGTATTATTTATGTTCATAGTTTGTTGTGTTTTAAGAGTTTTAGGAACTCCCACAGAAAAAACCTGGCCAGTAAGTATTATTTATGTTCATAGCATTGCTCTTGATATATGCTAAAAACAAATTTAACCTCAACACGTTCAGTGGTTCTCAATAAGAAGATTTTTAAATGTGTTTTTTGCCATTTTTAGGGAAAAAAACATGACTGAAAAGGTCACATGATCGCTAAAATTTTTATTTGTGAAACTGGAGGCTAATATCTCAATAAAGCTACAACAAAAAATTCAGGATGCCTAGACCCTCAGAAAGAGTTCAGAATGGCCACTTCTAGTTTAATTTTAAGAAAATATTCTTAAAGGAGCACCAGCTCAGATTAGCATCTCATTGTATGATTCGACAAAAAAATACAATAAGGCCAAAAAAAAAATTGTTTTGTTGCCCTCAGTGACCGACCAAAAAATATGTAATATTTTTCAATTTTCCGACTTGAGGGCAACATACTGTAAAACATGTTGAAAAAGCGGCATGCAATTTTAGCGAATTATGGTAAAACACGTAATAGCGAAATTTGATTTAGCGAATCTCTCTTGTCATTGTTAATTTCTTTGTTTGGCGGCCATTTTGAATTGATAATAAAGTCATTAGCAACATCTTGAATTAGCAAATCAGTTCTCTCGCTAAATTCGCGAAAAAGACATGTTTTACAGTAAGTTATTATTTTTTTGGCCTAACAATGGGGTTCCAAGCGTAAAGTGATACGATGTACCTTGAATAGTATATTCCACCTTAATATTTCAGAGTCCACAGAACCAAATTTGTCCATTCTTTTCATGTGCCTAGTACTTTATGTGCGACATATGCACGTGCAGTGGTTTAGTCCATACCAGTATGGCCATCTTGATTATTGCTTTTGGTTCATATATGTTCATGATAATTCATTATTTGTGATTGGATCAAGAACAATAGACCAAATAAGAATCATTTATTTTTTTTTCAGGGGATGAAGGATTTACCAGATTACAAAAAAATTTCATTTCCAGAAAATCCCCCTATTCCTCTTGAACAGATTGTACCAGATGCATCTCCAGAGGTATGTATCTTTTTGTCCTCACAATACAGTATCTCGTGTAAACATTCTCAGAATCATTGATAACTGTCCATCCCACTCCAAGGTGTTAATACATCTCATTTTATTTGTTGTTTTTTCCTAGGCTTTGGATTTACTCAAGAAATTTTTAGTTTATCCATCCAAGAAAAGAATATCAGCTGCAGAGGTTAGTTTTTTTTTCAGAAATTATTTCTAACTGACTATAAAATTGTGAACTGTGGCGAGGAATACTTCACATATCGATAGTCCAGGACAGTTCACAGATGGAAAGTCGATTATTGAAGCCGATTTAAATTTAAATATTGTATTTATTTCATCAGTTTCTGACAAAATTACTGGTAATATTATAAATATGTTAACCCTATGATTGTGAGGGTCTTACTGATTGTTGTTTTTACCCTTTTTTTTTTAGGCATTGTTACATCCGTATTTTTTCACTGAACCATTACCAGCTCATCACTCAGAGTTACCGAGACCAACTCGAGGTGCAAGAAAAAGACAGCATGCCCAACATGCCCATGAGTATGATATAGATACTGCATTAGAGAATTCATTGGTAGACCCTGACTTGATTGCACAGTTCGTCTAGTCGACAAGTCTCACATCCATACGAGTTGGACAGAATTCAACTTTGATGGCAGTATTGTGGTACAAACACCTGTATGAAAGATCTGAATATCAAAAAATGTTATGGAGGTCTGCAAATATCTTCAGCATCATGAATTTGTAGCCCCAGACGATCATGAAAGATCCACAAAACCATCAACTTCCAAAATCACCAGTGGCATTTCCTCATTTGACCTATAGATGGCGCTGTTTGAACAATTACTTTTTAAACTATTAAAATTACTACGAGTACAGTTTGTAATTATGTATAAAAGCTTTTGATCAGTGAGCAACTTTTTTCAATGTTTATTATTTATTTTATTAAACATGATTGAAATATATTTGAATTCTGTCTGAGTAAAAGCTACAGCTAGTTGTATCACCTCATAGTTGATACAAGGACGAGTTTTTTAACGTCACTTTGTGTAGAATGTTTGCTTTATTTAGATTATAATCTGTGGTTCAGGTATTAGCCGCAGTGCTAGAGCGAATTAAGCAGTAAGTGCAGGGAGCTTACAGTAAAACGTGCCTTTCCTGACGTGTTATTTTAGCTACAGATGACTAAGGTTTAGTGAATTCATTCATGTATTGAGTTTTATTTCATCGTGTACATTAACCACAGATACCTTCATCTGTTAAAACAAAAAACAAGCAATTGATCTCTGGTTCCATTTTGAAAAACTTGAGATGACACATTCGTACAGTTTTTAAAGAACATAACACCAGCTTATTTGCATTTTATACCAATTTTATTATAAAAAACCAGAACAAAATTGATAATGAAAAGTGAACTTCAAAAGATAAGATTATCTGACAAATAAGATCAAGAATTACATGTAGAAAAAAAAGGCAATGTCATGCAGCCATGTGTTGTCCTAATTTGTATGGATTTTGTCAGTGTACCCCAGACTTCTATTAGCTGTGATACCTGTTTGCATAAAATGAATCAGGTTGGTTGAATGTCCATCAATATGCTTGTACATTTGAAATATGATGGATGGATGAATAACATTCATTTACAGAACACATGTGACCTTCATGTCAAATTCAATCAAATCTTGTTTTTCTTAGTATAACTAAGGTGTATATATAAGGTGTTTTTCATAAAATACAAAACTGGTACAAATTGACCTTTTGATAACTACCATGTCTATATACCAAAGTTTCAATTAAATTATTCCATGAAAAGTTTATAACAAATACAAGATTGAACTGTGAAAAGCAAAGAAATGTTGTGCATATACAAGTGCCCATAACATGTAAAAATAAAGCTATTTATCTCCCTTTGTTCTTTCCGAACCAAACAGTGAAAAAACTCTTCATTGCATGCAAATCTATCACAAAGAAATCTCTGACATGACACGTGTCCCTGTGGTGCAATAGTAAATGAAACTGAAAGCAGTCAGCTAATGTGAATGGGAACCCAACAGCGGGAAACCACTTCATTGCATGCAAATCTATCACAAAGAAATCTCTGACATGACACGTGTCCCTGTGGTGCAATAGTAAATGAAACTGAAAGCAGTCAGCTACTGTGAATGGGAACCCAACAGCGGGAAACCTCTTCATTGCATGCAAATCTATCACAAAGAAATCTCTGACATGACACGTGTCCCTGTGGTGCAATAGTAAATGAAACCGAAAGCAGTCAGCTACTGTGAATGGGAACCCAACAGCAGGAAACCACTTCATTGCATGCAAATCTATCACAAAGAAATCTCTGACATGACACGTGTCCCTGTGGTGCAATAGTAAATGAAACTGAAAGCAGTCAGCTACTGTGAATGGGAACCCAACAGCAGGAAACCACTTCATTGCATGCAAATCTATCACAAAGAAATCTCTGACATGACACGTGTCCCTGTGGTGCAATAGTCAATGAAACTGAAAGCAGTCAGCTATTGTGAACAGACAAGGATGCCATTCGACCGATTGATCAATTGGGTCATGAAACAAACATGTGCATAATTGTGACATGATGTCCATGTGAAATTTAAACATGATTGGCCCAGACATGTTAAAGATATGGCTCCACAGCAGAATTTGTTAACTTGTCGGCCATTCCCCCCCCCCCCCATAATTATTAATGTATGTACCAAGTTTGAATGAAATAAGCCAATTTCTGGTTCAGAAATGCTTGATTTTGGTGAATTTTAACATAACATTTGTGGCCAATCGGCAATCTTGAACCAGATCACAAAAATTGCATGTGTATCAAAGATGTATGTGTATGCAAGATACAGTTGTGGAGGTCAATAGTGTTGATGTTCGAACTTTGTTCAAATAGGGGCTAACAAGTTGTTTGCAAACTACATACAAACCCCATAACATGATAATAATAAAAAAATTCTGCTGAATAAAATTACAAATTGCACATCTGAATAACAAATATGAGTATTGGTAAATCAATATTTTAGCACCAATTCCAGGTTTACCTGAGGATTCAAACCTATGACTAAATTCTACATACTGAATCTAATGTTCAGAGCCTGAAACTCTAAAAATACAACAGAACTTTGAATAGCAAAGACAATGAATACCCAAAAATAGAGAAGTCAACATAAATTAGAAAAAAATAATAAAAAAAGTTGAATACAGTCCTCACCATCAATAAGTTTCCAAAAACACAACACGAGAAAAGGGTAAAAAGTGACCATGATCTTAAGTACATACTATTTATGATAATGTATTTGGGGTTTGAAGGTCAAAGTTGTACTTGATTCCTGGTCACGTTGCTCTATAATGTAAAATATTTACCAGCTTGTATATATGTGAAATGCATTGCATTTTAGGGGAATAACCTTTATTCTGAGTATACATGGTGAAAGTCATTGAAATTAAACATATTTCACAAGATACCCCAACCACAAAGAATGAATTCACTCTCAAATTTAATATAAATAAAATTTGAGTACAATAAATTATGTTATTCTTCAGAAATGTTTTATAATTGAGTTACATCCATCATCAAAATAGATTTTTTTTAAATAACAAATAATAATGTATATTAATATTTTTTTTAATTTAAAGCATTTGAATCCTTAAAGTTTACAATGTACAAGATAATGTATGTAGTGCATTAGAATAGAAATTAAAATAAACCAGGCTTCATAAAACAATTTCATACTGAAAACAAGACACACAATATCCTCCATTTTGTAGCTGTGAAAATTTTCTTTGGGTCCTAAAAACTATAGCAAAATGTTTTGCTTATTAACCCCATTAAATAACCAAATCAAGAATAAGTAAAAAGATTTTTGGTTGCTATGACTAAACTAGATTGGATCAATCATTTAATGGTTATTATATATACTGGTAACCACAAATGTGAGCAAGATTGGATACATTTGCCAAAGGATGCCAATTAAAAAAATACCTAAATGCAACACAGAGTTTTCATCACACATAACTAGGCATAACATGTGTTCCATCAAAGGAAATTTGAAAGCATAATGCGAAAAAAAAGGTGGGGACATTTTGACATATAACCACTTGCAATTGCACTTTGGCCAAATAGAGCTAAAGTACAATTAATAATATTGTACTCTAATTTAGTCAGTAGAGAATTCTCATAATATACTATGTGTACATTTTGACAGTACCGGTATACTGCCAAGTGAACAAGAAAGTGTACATAAATAAATACACCTATAAATGTTTTATGGCTCTTTTGTGTGCCAGATTTTGTTCATTGTATTTCCTGATCCAAATAAATTCCTGGATACATGTACATTTTCATTAGAACTCTTTTAGTTAAAATTAACGTAAATGTTTGGAATAGTCTTCTTCTATCAGTATGCAAACATATCTGGGATACTTGCCAGCAAATTAGCTATGCCCAGGAAAATAATATTTATATACTTATATATATATTTATATAAATTGCTTTTTAAAATCAATGTGGACACGTGTGTTTTTTGTTTTTTAATTTGAAAAATTCGGACAAAATCCTGTACATTTTTAATGCACAATGCAGAAACTCTAATATGGGCACTTAATGTTAGTAGTCAACCCTGTGTTAATGATCACCTTAATAGACTGACTATAGAGACCACGTTTAGGCAATCTCAAGGCATATGAGTAACCTGTGTATAAAGACCACCTGTGACCACCCTTCTTTCAGCAGTATTTTTACAGATTTACCCAAATAACAATAAGCATCCTGTTTATAAAACAATTTCATTTTGATCAACTCAAACAAATATATATATACAACCTCTCCTCTCCTGTCTATATAGGTGCTACACACAGGTTTAACTGCATTATTTTTACTAGATGACTTGCCCTGTGAATATGTTGGATTCTCAGACTGACTAATCACACTGGATTAAATTAAATAGTATTTTTAATGCTGAATTTATTAATATTCACTACTTATTTCCACTGACTTTTACGATGGATTTTGTTACTACTAGGATAACAAATTAAATTAATAAAATTCTTTCTCATTAATTAAGAAGAATTCACTTATTTTCAGTGAAAATAATACCCATAACTGATAGTGGACAAATGGATCTAGGCTTGTCTTGATTACTTCAACAATTAAAATCATTTTCATATATCAATTTAAAAAATATTCTAATTATTTCTGGATTATTGCAGCAAAAATAAGTACATCATATTAATGAGGACTGAATTTCAGTCAAATTATTTACCCGGTACCATTCGCTCCTGGCTGAATGACTGAATTCTGGCTCTTAGGTCGACTGTACAAATAGACAGCAAATATAACCAAACCAGCACCACAACTGAATTGCAAATTGATCTGGAAACCAAACAAATATACTGCACATATGGTGGATATAATAATAGCTGCAGAAGTGGCAAATCCTTTAAGAATATTATCTGCATATTTGACTACAACCGCAACTAAAAGCCCACCAAATGCCTGCCAGCATACAACAAACCATACAAGGGGAGTATAGCCATAAAAAAACCCATTCTTCTGCACGGCTTCTCCATCTTTCAAACACATACCAATGGTACCGATCAATGTACCATAAAGTCCAAGTTGTATGTTCCTCAACCATATAGATCCCGAAGTTCCTTTGAGGATTTTTTCAAAGTAGACACCAGCAAATCCAGATGACAAGCAGGATAGAATGACAGCTATTAGTCCAAGATATGGATTTTGTTCTATGTCTTTTGTGTGAATCTCTGTATGTTGTTTATCGGGATCTGTGGGCTGTATCTGCACAATAGCAACACCAACGAACAAAATAACCAGTGATAACCATTGCACACCAGATAAAGTCTTTCTCAACATCATCACGGAAAATAAAGCTGTTGTTAAAATCTTCAATTGATATGTGACCTATTGAAAACAATATGACAATTATTATAAAAGTGTGTACATGTACATTTAAATAGGAGGCAAGTTTACAAGATCTTGAAATCTACAATGTGTGACACAACAGCATGCCTTATTTTATGAGCTACAACTTCACAGAGTGCTCATACTAGTACATGCTTTCAATGACTATACTAGTAGAAATTTGCAAAAGAGTTGCAGACAGAAGCCGAAAATAAAATAAAAATAAAATTTTATTTCAGCGTAATTTCTCACGCCCGCCGACTTGTATCAAAGTGCAAAAAATTGCTAAAAAAAACTTATTTTTATCTTCATTTTTTGTTTTCGTCCGCCGCATAACAAACCCAAGTTGCATTTTCGTGGGAGTATCATGATCAAAGTACTGAAGTCTCACGCAGATGAGAAACAAGGTTATACATGGAATAAAATTTTATTTCATTTCTTCTCTACGATCAATGATCTCACTTACAATTCTTTGAGAATCACACAAATCTAATGGGAAAAAAAGAATTAACTTTATTTTATTTCCGCCCCCCTCAAAGAAAATTGCCTTATAAAAACTCGAGAAACAAGGAATAAAAAAAGTCTGGCCTAAATAAACAATTTATTTTTAACATGCTTTTTGTTGCATGAGACCATTTTAGCTCCATGATGAGACCCACATAAAACACTATCAGACCCCATAATAATAAGTAATAAGGCTAGTTTTTATTGTATGCAAATTGTTCATTAATTTTAATTTCATTGTCGTGCCAAAATACAGTTGCTGGATTGGTGTGTAGCATTTATAAATTTAAAAAATTATACCGGGGGTTTTATAAAATGTCCATGCCTGCTTGTGTCACCCAGTATACAACACACCATAGTTTATACATGTATCTCACATGGTAGACAATTTTTTTTTACAGTAGTGTAAATTTTCTAGAAGTACTGATTTGAATAATTTTTGTTCATGTTTATCATGTATATATGTACATGTATTATTCCATACTGTAAACAAAATTGGAATATGATTTATCATAAACTAAAATTTGCATTTGCAAGACACCCAGCAGTATTTGTTAGTCGTAAAATCAAAACCACAATTATGCATGCTCAGTGATTGTTATTGTATGTACCGAAATAGCAAATGTACATACTTATTGGGGATTTCATCAATGTACATGCTTATTGGGGATTTCATCAATGTACATGCTTATTGGGGGATTTCATCAATGTACATGCTTATTGGGGATTTCATCAATGTACATGCTTATTGGGGGATTTCATCAATGTACATGCTTATTGGGGATTTCATCAATGTACATGCTTATTGGGGATTTCATCAATGTACATTCTTATTGGGGGATTTCATCAATGTACATGCTTATTGGGGATTTCATCAATGTACATGCTTATTGGGGGATTTCATCAATGTACGTGTATATGCTTATTGGGGATTTCATCAATGTACATGCTTATTGGGGATTTCATCAATGTACATGCTTATTGGGGATTTCATCAATGTACATGCTTATTGGGGATTTCATCAATGTACATGCTTATTGGGGGATTTCATCAATGTACATGCTTATTGGGGATTTCATCAATGTACATGCTTATTGGGGGATTTCATCAATGTACATGCTTATTGGGGATTTCATCAATGTACATGCTTATTGGGGATTTCATCAATGTACATTCTTATTGGGGGATTTCATCAATGTACATGCTTATTGGGGATTTCATCAATGTACATGCTTATTGGGGGATTTCATCAATGTACGTGTATATGCTTATTGGGGATTTCATCAATGTACATGCTTATTGGGGGATTTCATCAATGTACGTGTATATGCTTATTGGGGATTTCATCAATGTACATGCTTATTGGGGGATTTCATCAATGTACGTGTATATGCTTATTGGGGATTTCATCAATGTACATGCTTATTGGGGATTTCATCAATGTACATGCTTATTGGGGGATTTCATCAATGTACATGTATATGCTTATTGGGGGATTTCATCAATGTACATGTATATGCTTATTGGGGGATTTCATCAATGTACATGCTTATTGGGGGATTTCATCAATGTACATGTACATGCTTATTGGGGGATTTCATCAATGTACATGTACATGCTTATTGGGGGATTTCATCAATGTACATTCTTATTGGGGATTTCATTGTTTCATAAAGTGAATGTGTTTTCAGGTCATGACAAATCAAAGTCCAATGTAGTTGGTAACAAACAATAATAAGAAAACAATATTTAAAATTTCATGTTCAATTTCATGTTAAACTAATACTAGTAGTTAAAAGCCCTTTCAATTTTGAGTTGCAATGTTCACAAGTTATACATGTACTGAACAAAAACATAGTACATGTACACCATTTACAGCTTACAAACAGATTCAAATATTTAATAGTGATTGGCTCAAGAGGTAAATATTGTCTACAACCACAACAATAATGTGTCCACATGTCTTCACCTGACACAAACTTATTCAAAATGTTGATTTGATAATGTTGAACTAACTCATAAATATTAATTTAACTAACGATGATGTTCCAATACTATTTCTGGATTGGTAAATTTTAATTCTAATATCTATTTTGATTTATAAAACAGTTATAACGACCACAGCTTTATGCCTTTTACTTTGATATTTATTGTTGAGATTCGCTAAACGCATTGATAAAGCTAGTAAAATAAACATCCTATAACTCAAAACAGGGTTGTTTTGGTTTGATTACATGAAAACTAGTAAAACTCACCTGAAATGTAGCAGCACTTAAGTTGGACACGGCAGTGTATAGAAGATTGTTCTGTATTGTATAAGCAAGGGATGGTATGGACAATTTTAACGTATCTATTGGCTCCGCTATGATACTGTTGTACAGAAACAAAAAGAATGTTCCTAAATGAAATCTTGACTGCACAAGTATAACAGTGAGGCACGTCAAGAGTTTTATCACTTCGGTCGCAACAACAGCAGTGGTGGCCAGGTACATATCGCCTTTAGTTGTCCTTGTATATCGCATAACCAAGATGAGAGAAGCATTTTGTATAACCAGTACAGCCAGACTGACATATTTCATATATGTGAATCCCTCGCCTGCAATAAAAGATTAATTAGGTTACATATACTTTACACGTGTTATTAAATAGTACTTCTCATGTTCACAGGGGTAGAAATACACTCGGCTATGTCTTAGTCATAGATGGTGATAAGTATACATTGTACATGGCATTTAACCCAGATACATTCAGTTGTGTTTTCTGAGTTTATTTTTCTGTACTTTACTGAGAGGTCTAGAAACAGAAATTATAAACAGGGATTTTTTTAAACAAGGTAACAGGGGTGCAGCGCCCTCATGCCATGGCTATGCACCCCCCATACCCTGGGGAACAGATCCTTTGGCAACCATTAAATTCAGATTGACCAGGGATCACATGTGGCCACAGTCTTCAACTGTGACCTGTCTGATAGTAATTTTGGCCCCAAGGAAGCCATAGAATGCTCTATTTTAACTTAGGATTATCAAAAACTCCACTCCACAATAATCAGAATTTTATGGTTGCCAGATCATCATCTCCCAAGGGTAAGGGGGCGCATGGCCATGGCATGAGGGTGCTGCGCCCCTGTTCCCTTGTTTAAAAAAATCCCTGGGAACATCTAGCTTCTAGCTATACATTACAATTAATGCATGATTACACATTACAGTATAAATACCAAAATGTGAGGAAGTGTGTTCACATTGCCATCTTAAGGTGCACCAGGTCACATTGAGACTGCTCAGTTTACATTTGACTATTATGATGCCATAACTGAGATGTCTCAGCGCAGTTTTTACACCAGCTGTTCACAGTGCCAGGAAGCTTGAGAGAAAAGATGGCTGACAATATAATTAATTTTGATAAAAGATTGTGTTGTAGTGCAAAAATAACAGTATTTTTTTTAAATAAATTCTACATTTACAACAGTTTTGCTTACATAAGCGATCCATTGAACCCTTAGTTGCCATGGTTACTGTTGCTATGTGATTTGAAGAGCTACGTAAATGCAATCATAATCAACTCTTCTTCGTGAACACCAACACATCATTAAACATTATACCTGTAAAGTATCACCTACATAGTTATTACATTCAAAATGTGAGTGCATACACAGTACAGCTAATTTCACTGACTGACCTATGGAAACCTTTGCAAAACGAGGTGGCCTTCTTTGAACAGCAGGCAGAATTCGAGGTACACGGTACACCATTGTGTATCCACCGCTACATGTACCAGTAACAACCACCAGTTATATGGCCAGATATAGTCATTTAAAATACATTATTAAACTGAACACCCACATGGTGATTATAATATATCTTCACAAAAGTAAGCATTATTTGTGGGAAACCTGAAAATGTCAGTACCATATGGCATTGGAAACTACACATTAAATGAATACTTAGAATCAAAATGTCTGATCTATCTGAACTGATTTACATATCAAAACACGGCAGGTATACACAAGCGTAGTCTTTTGTTCACTGTACAGCATGATAATGGTCGGTATGTGTTTGCACTGCAAGCAAACAGTTCTCGTCTCCACCCAATGAGCAATTCAAATTTGACTGAAAGTATGAAAATATTGTATTTGTTACAGTGCATTAAAATGAATATTACAATTATCTTTGACTGTTTGGTAATGATATGCAAATTAGATATGCTACCGGTAAGTATAGGCAAATTATCCATCTTGTTTAATTTGTGAAGAAAATTGAAGGTAATAAAAAAAATTATCTAATATGATTTATTACTACCTACAATGGGTATTTTTTTACTACAAGCATGTAAACATGACACAGAAATGGTAGCCTAAGTATAAACTACAAATGCTTTTATAAAAGGGACGGGGGCAGTCTATAGTGACAAAAAGAAAATTGTCAGGCAGACTGATACCAAGAAAACTATAGACATAGTCTCCATAAAATATTTCAAGCACCCTGACATTTTGAAATCATACAAATTCACAATTTTAATTGAAAGTAAAAAACGGCCGTATGTGGCTATCTTGAATCGAGTCTCTAAAAAAATAACACTGTGAGCATGTAACAAGTATATAGTCATATGTCTGATTGAAATCAGACAATGTATTTTCAAAAAATAGTGGCAGACATGTTAAGTTTTCGAATCAGGATTACCAAAAAGGCCACCAGAAGGTCAAATTTTATCAGATTACAAAATTAGTGTTTGACCCCGGTACCCCAGTAGTTGGTCATTTCATACCAGAGAAACAAACAGAGACATTGTGGAAAAACAAAACGGCCACAAGTTCATCATCTTGAATTAAAAAGACTGCAACAACTAATGTAAAAGTTTGATTGAACTGGTTATAGGCACACTGAAGTATTTCACATCCAAAATAGACTATATTTGGGCATACGTATTGCATTTGTGAATTGGCTTTGTATTAAAGTTTAAAAGAAATCAGTCAATGCGTGTCTGAGAAATGGCTCTAAATAAATGAACAGACAGAACTAAATTTTTGATGAAATGTTTGGTTGTTCAACGTAGCTTGTACGCACGTGATAACATATTTTATCGTTAGGATTCAATAATTCGCCACTTCAATAACACCCAATTCCTTCACTTGAAATCTGATTTTGAATTTAAATCTATAAATCTCATTTGAGAATTGTTTCAACCACATTCTTGTGAGAATGGTTGTATCCGGGAGCAATGGCTTGTTGAGACTGAAAGTGCCAAACAAACACTGCTGGCAATGTTTCTAGTAATACTACAATTACTTCGTTCACATTACAGGATCTCAGTACGTGCCAAAATTTGTAATACTTCATGTTTGGAGAGAGAATACAGCAATTCATGTTAGACGTCACCCATACATCATGCACGGCAAAGATTTGAAAAACAATTATTTTTTCACATCGATGTAACATTTCAAGAAATAACTGGTTGCAGCAGCACATAAATATGCGTCGTTGAAGACGTTTTTTTTTTATTTATTACTACAGCATCTGACCATATTTAGATGCACTTCCCTTCATCCTCATGTCATACTAGTATGAATGAGTATATGTTCTCTTAAACTCACCAACGAGGGCATGATTTTGGTTCATGCCGAGCATTCAGGCAGCAAATCTCGGCATGTGACGAATTTCGGTCCCAAGCATCTATCGGGAGTTTTTTTTGGCACGTGCCAGCTCGACCTGACCATTTACACACACGTTTCAGCACATGCCGAGATCTCTAATGTGAACGCCACTATTGTTGCAAGAGAGATTAAAAGGGAGAGATGACAATTTTCCAGATCAGTTTATTTAGGTGCTGTACTGTATTTCAAAAAATGAGTACAAAAATGATAATAGTCTTAAATGCTTAAAAACAAAAAATAATTAAATAATAGGATTATTTTGTGACAGCGTTTTTATTTCACATATACCATGTACCAGCATGTCACTGTCAATGACATAGTGACCCAGCTCAGTTTTTGTGTCAATTATACAATGAAAAAAATACCAGTACATCAGTAACCTTTCATGTGTGATTCATACCAAGTTTGAACAAGCAGCTTCTCGGCTGAGATAGCTCCACTGTTAGCAATGCACATTTCAATTAAAGAACTGAAGACATCATTAGAAAATGAACAATATGCATAGTATCAATGCAATGGGACTTGTTGTTTTCAACAAGAATTCACATACACCCTTCCATGCTGGTTTAATTTGTACCACATACACCCTTCCATGCTGGTTTAATTTGTACCACATACACCCTTCCATCCTGGTTTAATTTGTACCACATACACCCCTCCATCCTGGTTTAATTTGTACCATATACACCCCTCCATCCTGGTTTACTTTGTACCACATATACCCTTCCCTTCTGGTTTAATTTGTACCACATACACCCCCCCCCAATCCTGGTTTACTATGTACCACATATACCCCTCCATCCTGGTTTACTTTGTACCACATATACCCTTCCCTTCTGGTTTAATTTGTACCACATACACCCCCCCCAATCCTGGTTTACTATGTACCACATATACCCCTCCATCCTGGTTTACTTTGTACCACATACACCCTTCCCTTCTGGTTTGATTTGTACCACATACACCCCTCCATTCTGGTTTACTTTGTATCACATACACCCCTCCATCCTGGTTTACTTTGTACCACATACACCCCTCCATCCTGGTTTAATTTGTACCACATACACCTCTCCATGCTGGTTTACTTTGTACCACATACACCCCTTCATGCTGGTTTAATTTGTACCACATACACCCCTCCATCCTGGTTTACTTTGTACCACATATACCCCTCCATCCTGGTTTACTATGTACCACATATACCCCTCCATCCTGGTTTACTATGTACCACATATACCCCTCCATCCTGGTTTAATTTGTACCACATACACCCCTCCATGGTGGTTTACATTGCACCACACCCCTTCATGTTAGTTTATTTTGTACCACACCCTTTGGGTTGTTTAAGTACCCACAATAGATCCCATTTACATTCAGGTATGTATTTACTACATTTGTATTTTTGCTTTGGTTGCAGTTATTGTAGAACATTTATCAAAATGCACAATGTATGTCATTATCAATGCATTTCTACACCAACCTTCTACATCCTGCACTCTTTCTTGAAATGCCATTTCTGTACAAAATGAGAAGAGAAAAAAGTATGGTGTATGTATAGCCTCCACAGATGGTACTGCAAGGTTGACAATGAGCCACAGAGGGACCATTTCATTATCAAATAAGTGGAAATTCACTGTGACACCCCAGGAAGTCCTGGGACCCAGTTAAAATTCACTGTGACACCCTAGGAACCCAGCGAAATTCACTGACACCCAAGGAACCCAGTTAAAATTCACTGTGACACCCTAGTAAACCAGTGAAATTCACTCTGACACCCTAGGAACTCAGACCAATTCACTCTGACACAATAGAAACCCAGCAAAATTCATTCTGACACCCTAGGAACCATGTGAAATTCACTGACATCCTAGGAACCCTGTGAAATTCACGGTGACACCCTAGGAACCCTGTGAAATTCACTTTGACACCCTAGGAACCCTGTGAAATTCATTGTGACACCCTAGGAACTCAGTGAAAGTCATTGTGACACCCTAGGAACTCAGTGAAAGTCACTGTGACACCCTAGGAACCCAGTGAAAGTCACTGTGACTTCCTAGGAACCCACTGAAATTCACTGTGACTCCCTCAGACTGATATACATATTTAATACTGAAACTCTTTTGTATAGGGAGACTATTCTTTGAAAAATCAAGGTTTGTTCTTGACAGGAACTATACATTGTAGGTTTTACAAGTTTAGCAAATTAACTAACAAAAACATTACATGGAAAATGGGAAAGGGGAAAGGGCAACATTCACATTCATGTACATGTACATTGCAAATGCTTCAACCAGTGTTCTTCAACACTTGCTGTGAAAATACAAAAACCTCACCATATATTTGCTCTTAGAAGTGAATATGCTTGTGTAAATGACAGAGATAAGTTTATAGTCAAAATAAGATTTATTTCCATGATCTAGTATACAGTAAATGCAATTTGTGGTTTATATGTGCTTCTAATATGCGATTCTAAGAGAGCAAATGCACTATACTCTCCAATAGCTGTCTATGTGAACCAACATTAATGTACATTTTATATTTTTTGACTGGATGAATTACTAAACCTTCAACAAAATACACCAACATAATTTTACCCATATATTTACAAAGATTTTTAATAGGACATGACAAAATTGAAAAAAAAGAAATTGATAGAAAAATACATAAAATTGTTGGGCCGAAATGGTAAGGTAGAAGCATATTCTTAAATGTAAATACCAGGAATATTCTCATATTGCAATAATTATACTTCCGAGCAATACAAGAATATTGACTTAAAAAAAGTTATGGGTCACCAGCCTTACTTTCAAGAAAATCATGGTTGTATTTTAATGGATAGCAGCCATTTTGTCAGTATGTCAGCATCCCATGGCAGATGTAAACACAATGTATATTACGCTGCATCTCAGATTGTAGGTTTATTGCATAGACTGAAATATCAAATATTGTGAATGATGCAATTTTTCTCTAACATTGTGTTCTGACAAATATTAAGACAAATTTCTCAAAGTACACTGCTGTAACACATAATAAAATGTTATTTAATGATGCCAATGAACATTGTCATGTGATTTATTACAACTTTCTCAAAAATGACGAGT